TGTAGCAATTAAATGAAATTTCAAGCAAACTAAATTACAGATGTTCTAGTGTGTATACAGATGTGTTTAACTAAGTAAAGTACCAAAATGGAAACAGTGGTATTAATACAATACACTCTTGGAGATGTTACCTAGATAATTATTATTCTGCTTTAGGGTTTTCAGCGTTTTCAAAATACTTACAAAATTGATCACAAATACATAGGGCTGAAGTTTTAGCTCAGTTTGGAGATTGTCCAGCACACACAAAGCACCAGGTTTGATCCACAGAACTACATAAACTGGGCGTGCTGGCATATGCCCGTAATTCCAGCATACAGGAGGTAGAGACAAGAGGTTCAGAAGTTCAAGGTCATCCTCAGCTACAAAGTTCAAAGTCAGCCTACGCTACATGACTCAAAAAGTAAATAAGTAGCCACAAATATACAGCTGTGGAGCTCCACAAGAAGCAGCGAATGCTTTTTGAGATACTACGAGCCCCCTATGTACACTAGAAGTCAGAGTCGATAAAGACAACTGTATTCCGTCATATACAGAAAACAAAGGAATCTTTCAAGAAAGAAAGCAGTGATTGGATTTTAGCAAATGTTCTCCTTGGTGTTCTCTTGTTGATCTCCTTAGCCCTTGTTTAGTCATGATTGAGTTTTCTGTGCCATTTTCCAAACTATACTCCCATCCCTGCCCCCCAACATGCCTTCTTCACCCAAGCACCTTCTTACGTCTTACAGAGACAGGCATTTCCCCAACTTCCATCTCTAGGTTCCAGTTCTTCTTTGCCTGAGGATGAACGATGTCCATGTTTCTCCTCACAGCGTTGACACATCCCATAACACCTGGGGCCCTGAGTCTGTGTGATACTGTCAAAAAAAGAAAAAAAAATGCCAATAGTAAAGAACTCACATGTGGAAAACTGCCCTTGGCGTAACTCTTCACTCCATTAAATAAAGTCACTCACGTCCCCTCACAAACATGGCGGGGTTCAAGTGAAGAGAGAGAGTGATAGTTTCTGTTTTGTTCTTTGAGTCCTTGGTCTTTTGCTGTTCTTTTTTCCAAACTACCCACATCACACAATTGCCATATAATCCACCATCGTGGCACTTTGAGCCTGCACCAACAAACAGAGTTCCTTTCTACCCCTGGCCTTTGGTCAGGAAACTTAACAGAGTTTTGCTTGATAATAATAAAAGAATCTCTAAAAGTTATAAATTCCATTGAGAAGCCCCATTTCAATGCTGAATTTCAAGAGAACTATAATTTTTAATAAACATATTTCTTTTGTGACAAACAGTTCATTGTTGTAAGTGGTGGTTGACCACATGGTATCTAAGGGGAGCAGCTGTTAGTGACATTCACCATCAGCATCACAAGGCCAATGATGTTTAGCTGATACACACAGGAACAGCCCTATTAGGTGATAAACTGTTAAAATATATAATAGAATTGGAGAGAGATAGCTCAGTGGCAGAGCACTTGGTTAGCATGTGCAAAGCCCTGGGTTTGAGTCATAGAAACACACACACACACACACACACACACACACAAACACCCCCCCCCCATGATGAATAACAGTTAATAGTCTCTGGTCTGCCCATCTTATCCCTTTGTCCTACCTCATTGAGGCTGAACCAGTCCCTCCTCTAGAATACCCCAAATCTCCCACAAACCCAACAAACAATCAAAAGGATTAATACCCTGTAAGAGCTGAGTGGATACTGTCCATTCTGGTTGAGCAGCACCAAGTCACACAGGGGTTAAGTAGAATGAATATTACTCCCATGCCCTTGGTGAAGCCATCATACACCTGACCAACACAAACCCATTTAGTTGTGTTTAATTTGGTTTTGTTTAAATCGACACCAATACTTCTCAAACTTGAGCACAGAATCCCTAGAGGGCTTGTTAAAGCATGCACTGCTGGGCCCCACCTTCAGAGATTCTGAGTCAGTAAGTCCAGGGTGGGGTCTGGGAATGTGTTCCGTGTTCCCAGGCCATGCTAATGCAGTGGTTCACTGGTCTACAGAGAGGTCCTATTAGAAACAGGCTTAGAGCTGTCTTCTCAAACATCAATGTGCACATGCAGAGTCACAGACAGCAGAATTCAGTGGATCTGATGTGGAGCTTCAAGTTCTGCCATTCTTTCTACCAAGCTCCCCAGTGATACTTTTGAGAGCCTCACCTTGAATATCAATGTTTCCATAGGACCTGAATAGTAAGGACTGGAGCACTGATGAGAACTTCCTCTTTACTTCCACATAATGAAAGTCCTTGTTTCCCCTCTGTGTACAGTTCCTTCCGTGTCCTTTTATTGATTCTATTTCCCACTCTACTTTTCTTTTTGCTCTTAGCTGCTTCCTTTATTCCTTTCCTCTCTCAATCTCTATTTTTCTTGCTGGTTTTTGAAGATTTAAAATCCCTAGGCTACTCTCAGGGCTATATCTCTGATTAATTTTTTTTAAACATCACACAAAATGAAACAAACAAAAAATTTGGCCCTGATTGCTGGTGAAGGTACTCTACCCAGACTCCCTTGGAACTTCCTGGTTCAGTGGTGATGTCAGAAATGAGACTAGGAAGATGCATGTGAGCACATGTTAGGGAAACAAGGCAGCTAGCCATCAAGTACAAAGGGAGTGAATGCCTAGATTTCTCTTGTTCTAGAAAGGTCTTAACTGGGAGCATTTTCAGGACTCAGAATTTTCCCTATTTACAAAGCAACTAGGCACTTTATGCGAACATTGAAAACAAAAATCAGTTTTTGTAAACCTGGCTATTTTCTGGATTTTAATACTGCTTAAATCCTACTTGAGCAGCGGCAGGTTTCTGACAGCCATCAGTGTGCACTCTCCGCATCCTTGGGCTGAGCAAATTTCTTGGCAGTAAATTCCACAGAAGTCTGCAAGTCTTAGCACTGTAGGACAGAACTGCTGGCCCAGTCTTGCTACTTCCAGAAGCTAAAGGACACTGCAGATGTCTGTTGGTTTAGCAGCTGTGTCTGAGAGAAAATGCTCAACTATCTCCTTTCCAACTGCAGTGGCGAGAGTTCAAGAAAAACTTGCTCAATAAAAAGGAGTTAGAAATGATAGATATCTTCCTAGTGTGGGGTGGGGGAAGGAAATTCACCCTGTACTACATAGCTTTCAAAGAGATCCCTATGTCTCCCTATGTGACAGGTGACCCAGGATTCTAAGCTAATTCTAGGTAGCATAACCCTTCTAAAGCTCCTGCACCCCAATCATCTTATTTTAGAGAAGACAAAATTATCTGGGTACTTCTAAGACACCGAATACAAAAATGACACCCCAAACCAAGACCTCCACTGATACATTAGTTCCCAATAAGCAAAGTTGTCCACTAGGAGATATTTACAGTTGTCCCCCACTGGAGGATACTACTGATATCCAGTAGGAAAAGACCACCCCCCCCCCCCCCCCCCTCACCCTGCCACTCCCTGGTAGCAAAAGAGGTCTAATCCAAAGCATCAGTAGAGCTTGGGCTGAGAAGTCTTGCTTAGAAGATGCTCAATCTGTGTCATATCCATCTTTCCTTCCTGAGTGGAAAATGAGAGATATGAAGGGAGAATTCATGTGAATAAAATCTTCAATCTGTAACCCCCAAATTTGTTTAAAAAGCAGCAGTTAGTTTGCCAAGCTCTGGTTGCGACGGCTGAAGAACTAAAATCAGAAGTACCAAATTCTAATGCCAACATGGTCCATGCAAATAACATAAATAAGCAAACCATGTCAAGAGCAAAAGAAGGGCGGGGATAAGAGACAAAAACATCGCAAATACCCCATGTACCTTCTATTGTTGTAGAAGAAAAACAGCTGCACAACGGTGGGGAAAAGTAGCATTGTGCCGGGCGTAGTGGCTCAGGCCTTTAATCCCAGCACTCAGGAGGCAGAGGCAGGCGGATCTCTGAGTTTGAGGCCAGCCTGGTCTACATAGTGAGTTCCGGGACAGCTGTGGCTACAAAAAGACCAAATAATAAAATAATAAAATAGCATTGTGTTTGGCAACTGCCCCTTTGGTCTTGTAATCAAAAGAAGACCATGGGAACAAAGGTCAAGTGCAGCGTGCATCCCTTCCTGACCCATTTACCTCTCCACCTAACAGCATCATTGACACAGACCTGGAAGTATGAACAAAACAAATAAGGGTTTTCTTGGGTTTCTCTTTATTATAGAATCTGTTTCTCACATTTCTGTTGTTCTTGTTGTTCTGAGGATTTGAGAAACAGAGTTACGGGAATGATTGTTTGCTTCTGATCTTAAATCCTGAAAAAAAAATCTCACAGCATCAGTAACAGAGTTTGACGAACTGCTATTTTGTACAGTTTGCTAGCAAAGAATAATTTTTACATTTTATAAAAACTATAAACAGAATGAATACATTCCAAAAATCGAATATGGCCTATAATGCCTAAAATGTTATCTGGCCCTTGGTAAAAGTAAGCTTGTCAACCTCTGATTATGTGAAAGTGAAGTTTCCTTTCTTTCTAAATAGCTACAACAAAATAGCAAAGTTCAGGGAATCTGTGACTCACAATATGAATTTACAGGAAGCTTATTACAGGATTAAGGCATATTTTTTTTCTGCCCAGCCAGTTTCTTTTACATCATAAATGAAACTGGATTTTTATCAATTTAGTATCACCATGGTTACTGCTCATTAGTGGAGGGAGGGGTTAGAGAAGAAAAAAGAACTGTGTAGAAATCAGTGGCAAAAGAGCCAGGCAAAGATGAGACAGATCAATAATTGATTTCTATATACAAAGTCTTCAGTTTACAGGTTCTTGGCTGGTCATAAGTTGCCTAGTTGTGAACTAAAGGTGAAATTAGGTCCAACTCTGCCAAAGTTCCAGATTCTGATATGACATATTCCATGATGTCATAGAAAAGTTACTTTCATAATCCAGCCAGAATGCTGTAATTAATGGGACAGCTACATTGAGCCATCTGAATCGACAGGAGAGGGTCACCCACAAGTCCCAAGTGTCAATCATGGTGCAGATAATTAAAGACATGGCAAGTACTCAATTGGTTTCATTAACTATTTCAAAAGATATATTTCAAAAGCAATGTTCAGTGAGACTTGATAAACTCTCAGAATGACTTCCTCCACCCAGTAGCCCCTCATTGCTCTATAGCAAAAGAGATATTTCAACTCCTTTTGCTTGTAAGTTAGGGTTTTTTAATGTCTTTTGAGACACAATCTCGTTGAAAGAAGAGGTTATGTAGCATAGGCTGACCCAGAGCTCAATGTGTAACTTCAGATGCAAGTGAGGGGCCAGACTTCGTGGGCCAGGCCTGTATTCCCAGCTACTCAGGAGGCAGAGGCAGTTGGATTGCAGTTGAAGGCTAGACTAGGCTATGGAGTGAGCTCAAGATCCCACCCAGGCAACTTGATGAGACCCTGTCTCAAAATAAAAAGTAAAAGGTGGACTGAAGATAGACCTCAATGGTAGAGCCTTTATCTAGTATGTGGGACACCCTAGGTTCAATCTCTGGTACCACAAGAAAAAAAAAGAAAAAAAGAAACACGTAGTAAGAAATGGAAGCCTGTTTTGGCTGTGTGAGATTCAGCCACACATCATCCTACAGGATACAGGTACAGGAAGCAGGTGTATCTTTGAGTCATCGGTTTTACCTGCCCTGAAACTAAATGATGATTTAATTACCAAGTTCCCCTTGCTGCAGGGCAAGTATGCCAACTGCATGTAAATAACTCCACCCTTAATGGGGATAGGCCCTGCTCAGCTTAATCCAGCTATAGACTAACTGGATTAACAACTGGTCCAGGGATGCACATGTGATGCCATTAACCACAGAGAGAGTGCATCCATCACTGTGATAAATCAGGTGATTTTGTGTAATGGTTGAAGAAATGGGATCTGGCTGTCTAAATTAACAATCCCAACCATACCACTCACCATCTAGCTGACTGAAAAAGCTGATGAACGTCAGTCCCCTTACCTTGCAGTAGGTGTAGGACTACATAAAGAGAGTGGGCACAAAAACCATGTCAAGCACAGAGTGAATGAGCTATTGTTGCAGTTGCACTGAAGAAAAGAAAAATAAGTCTTGAAGATCATTCTATGGAGCAGCTCACCTACTCATCCAGATAATCCCATGAGTGCTCACCATGTACACGTGAGAGGCCATCGGAAAAATCATGGTGAATCAGAATTGAGTCCAATGGGAACTTGAGTCCAATGAGGTTGAGAAAAACCAGGTCCGAAGTAGCTGTGTAGGACAATCACTGCTTATAAAGCAAGAAAATATAAATACAGTGATCTGAGGTCCCAGAATGGAAGGTTTTAATTAGATAATAACAACAATTAATGGAACTTTTACTTAAGATGTTTAGAAAAAAAGCATGTCAAATTCTTTATTGAACGGTATTGACTTGGGCTTTAATAATGATCACTCCCCCCAAAAAAGAACCAGGATGTGACTCAAGGTAGTAGATTAGTTCTTTTCATTTTAAAATTTCATCATTAATGCGTTTTCACCCCTCTTTAAAATTATGAAGTACAGATATCCACCTGAGCAGCAATTTACTCTCACTTTTACACTTTCATTTCTCCCTAGCTGATCTGTCTCTACCCAAAGGAAACCACCACATACCAACCCATTTGGTGAACAAACTCCTAATTTTTTGTGAACGTATCATTAGTGTGTACTTATAAAGAAAATTACATCTAACCTTGGACACATTTAGAAAAGGTTGGGCCAAATGGAGATGAGGTGGGGAACCTGGCTTTGAAGACTTAACCCTGTCAGTTTATCCTTTGTAAGACTTTCATTTTCTTCCTTTCAAGACTTTAAGAATTAAGTGATCATGCACACTTCCTCCTGTATTCTGGTTTCAGAAAGAATTGAAAGCATTGCTGAAAACCGCTGGACAGAAACTTGTGGTGGTAGAATTTTCAGCAAAATGGTGTGGCCCCTGCAAAAACATTGGTCCTATTTTCCAGGTGAGTCTCTGGTACTATTCTCACAGTTGGCCAAAGGAATATAAGTTCCCCCAAAATGTTTTACCAGTCATTCTTAAAAATGTTTCTACTTATGTCAGGAATGGACTACCTCTCTTCAGTTTGTTGGCCAGTGGAATCCATAGGCCAACCATTGCAGGATATTGCCACCGCCCTTGATTATCTACCAGAATTTGACATTCAGACCCTATTGCTGAAGACAACACATACTTAAGTCATAGAACATGGAGAAATTATTTGGTTTTAGCAAACCATTTAGGAAAAAAATATCTCAAGGAAGTTTAATTTCACTTTTCCTTATTGCATAAAAAGTCTCAAGTTTACTTATGGTCACCTTAGTGAAATGTATTCCTTCCTTCAACTATAAAAAAGTTTTGGTAGGGCATGGTGGCACACACCTTTAATCCCAGCACAGAGAGGCAGAAGCAGGCGGATCTCTGTGAATTTGAGGCTGGCCTGGTCTACATAGAGAGTTCCAGGCCAGCTGGGGCTACAAGGAGACCCTGTCCAAGCCCAACATGTATCTTTTTTTCCTATACATACATCCATATCTCTGATAAGGCTTAACTTATAAATTAGGCATAAGAGAAAAACAACAACCATAATAAAATAGAATAATTATAACAATAAAATAAAATATAACAATTATAATAAAAAGATGAAGTTTTGATTCCTCTGTGACACAATTGAAAATATTCTCATCTGTTTTCAGTGAGATTTCTAACATTTTGACTTTTCTCACTTGACCTCTTAAATCTACCACAACTAATTCTAGCAACAGTCACAACTTTCAATATTTAATTGAAAATGAAATTGTATTAGATAATGAGCTCATGACATTTTCTCTTTTTTTAATGTGTGTGTGTGTGGTGTACATGTACATTTGTGTTCAAATGTGTGTGAGTGAACACGTGTGTTTGTGTATAGAGATGCATGCGTACACACATGCATGTGGAGGCCCAAGGCTGTTGTCAGGTGCCTTCCTCAATTTTGAGGCAGTCTCTCACTGACCCAGAGCTCATCATCTCAACTAATCTGGCTACCCGGCTTGCTCCAGGAATTCCATCTCCACCCCCTGGACACTGGAATTACAGGCAGGTCACCATACCCACCTGGTTTTTACATGGGTTCTGGAGATCTGAACTTCAGTCCTCAGGCTTGAAGGGCAAGCGCTTTACCCACTGAGCCATCTTCCCATCCCTTCCATGACATTTTAGCACCCCACTATGCCTAAAGTTCTCCAACTATCCAGAAGGAACATTTTAGTATCTGCCCAGGCCCCTCCATTCTGACACTCAAAACTAAGAAAGAAGGCTCCCTACCTATGTCACAGAAATAGCCAGTGTTTGAGTGAAAGAGTGTAAATGCACTCAAATGCCACACAGTTAAAGCTGATCAAACTCCAGCAGCCAATAAGAGGCATATAATATGAACTCTCTCTCTCTCTCTCTCTCTCTCTCTCTATATATATATATATAT